TTACTGCTTACTACAAAAAGTAACTGAGTTACTCCACAATAAAAGTAACTAGTTACTAGTAAAAGTAACCCTCACCACCCAGCCCCCACCTTCTCGCCGTGTGTTTCCAAAGCCAGCTGAATAGAGCGGACGACAAAGACAAGAACCTGCAGAGAGTTTAGCATTTATTGCAACTCAACGTAAATGACGTAAACCCCATCAGATACTGTTCCCCTGCTTTACATGGGGGAACGGTATCTGATGCTGTGTAAACATCATCAGGCTGCATTACCTCTACTCATAGGTGTGAAGTTTTTTATCAGGGCGTTCAGATCAGGTGAGTGAATGAAATTAATAACTGGGGATGTCTAATTCTGAAATCCTGTGTGTTTGGGTTGTTATAGATATGGCAACATCCATCCATCCCGATTTCTCCCTTTCTCCATATAGGCTAATGATCGTTCACGCTCTCCGTAGTTCTCCTGTGGCGCGAATACAGGGCGGCTGTTACGCGCCTTTAGCGAGCATGCGTGTTTCCCGTCGCTTTCGCGGTGAATCGTGCCACCTACGCTGTGCGGAGATGCAGGGGAAACCGTATCTGATGGGGAAACGCAGCTCGACGTAACACCGGTAATTCCATCTGGAAAGCGCTGTTTTGCTGCTGGAGTCCTCCTCACTCTCCATCTCTCTGAGTGTGCTGTACGTTAACACCTGCCGGCGAAAACACCCACCTACCCAACTGACAGACGGAATCTCACTATACATCAGCCATTCTAATCCTCCCCTCATGACAAGGCGCGCATGAGTCCTATTATGAAAAAAAAGGCTAATTGTGTGACCTGAGTAACGTGCAGGTGTCTGCCATCGTAACTGCATTATAGTTACAGTCAAAGTAATTAGTTAGATTACTTGTTACTAAAAAAGGTTAACTTTCAACGCCGTTACTCCCATCACTGTAAATGACAGGGAGGAGGATGCAGATACCGGCCATCAACGAGTGCTGTTTACGCAGTAACAAGCACATTTAATGCCAACAAGGACTGGTTTGAAAAATATAAGAAATGCTTTGGACTTAAAAATGTTTCTCTGAGAGACTGAGAATACCGCTGGAGAAGAAGTGTTCCCCAAAAATAAATTTAAAGCAAATCATTGAGGAAGAGGGATGTTAGCCTTAACAAGTTTTCAACAATAGTCGAAAAACAAGGGTTCAATGTATCTTTAATTTACTTGAGTCATTTTCTAGAGGGGGGTACTATGTGACCACGTGGCTCAGTAGGATGAGTCTCAGATCAGAGTTCTAGTTTCTACGTTTCTAATAGATTAGAACATTAAATCACTTTTCGATAGTGAAAGAAAGAGGATAATTAAGACTCATGTTTTCTTTTTGGTTTGTTTTTGAACAAGAAATAATCTTTCTGTCTTTTTAATTCTTTTTGTGGCCTTTTCATGCTGAAGTTCTTTCCAGGTGTTGTAGATTCTATAGCAGGTAGTTCTATGTATCAATACATAAGGTGGTTCCTGAAAGTTACAAGTTCTTTAAAATTACTCTGGAAAAATATACAGAAATGTGCTGATAGAACATTTTATTTAGTATTTTTGAATACTTCAATATTTTATGAGTACTTCAATACTTGAGTAGATTATTGAGTAACTTTACTTGTAGTTAAGATTCGACTATGAGTATCAATACTTTTACTCAAGTATTACAGCTGAGTGCTTTTTCCACCGCTGCTGGATTTACGTCTTATTTACTTCATGCAAACAGTTTTTTTCAATTCTTTCTTACAGAGTTCGTTTAGGAAAAATTTATTTTACATGCATTTTTCTTTTATTTTTTTGTCGTATCTCCCTTAAAAAAGTATGTTTTATCTCAGAGCGTGCTTTCCTGGTTTAATAAAAGCTTAATATAATAAAATACAGCAGCAAGGAGAAAAGATATCAGTTGTTTGTCCATGATTCTGTTTACTTCTATTTTCTATCCATCCATCCTCTCGCCCTGCTTTTAAAGACATATTTCTTTTTTACAATATTTATAAAAAATCCCCCCTGACTAAGATAGGATTTGAGCAAAAACCAAAATAAAAAGCCAGTCCTGTTTGGACCTCATTTTCTCGGCCGTCTGATCCATCAGAACCATCATCCAGGAATCAAAAGGCCTTAGCTGACCCAGGTTGTATATTAATTTGTTTTCTTGGTTGCGTTTTGGTTCTGATCCTGTGGAATGTTCAGAACGGTTTAGATCTAAATTCAGTTTTATCTCCAGCCACTGGAGGAGCTGCAGGTTTCTGTCCAATCCGAACCCAGAGTGCATTGCCTGAACGCTGTGTTCAACCAATCAGATCTGCCCCTTTAAAAACCTCAGACGTCTAAATGGATCCATAAAACCAGTAGGCTCCACGGGGCCTGCCGTCTTTGAGATGTGTTTACGTGAGGCGGGAATCACCATAGCAACCAGCGTTTCTGATCGTGACCAGGCAGCTTGTTGTTTCTCATAGGGATCCACCTTTAAGTTGGATAGAAATGCTAACAGGAGAATAACATCCTTCATCCCTGTGCTGCTGCAGCTCCGTCCCTGCAGAGCCGGCTGTGGGGAGCTCCGAGGAAGAGGAGCGGCCTGCAGAAGATCAACAGCAGGCCGACAGATCTGAGCTTCCAAGAGACCCTCGCCGAGTCAGTTTACATCAGCCGACCTCTGGTGCACCGTATCCTTTAACCAGCTGGTCTCCAATAAGAACAGTCTGATCTAGTTTGAAATGGTAACGCTAGTTTCAACCACTAGAGGGAGCTTTTCTCTTTCACAGCCAGAGAGGGAAAGCTTTTTTCCTGAAGCTTCAGTGGGTATATATTTGGAAAGGAGGACTAACCGGCTCAGGTTTTAAAATCTGCAGCTTTGGATGAATCAAAGCTTTTATTTTTAAGCTAAAAATTTAGGCTAAAACTATGAGGATCAGAAGTAAAGGAGGATCTGAGTGTGTGATTAATCAGCCGTGAGATAAAAACTGCTCCTCAAAGATCTAATGTCCTGTTGGATCGTCCTTCCACCAAATTTTCCACCTGCATATTTCAGCAGGGAAACAGATGCTTCTGCCTCACTGAGCAGCAGTTTTCCTATACTCCATCTTTCCTAACACAGTTGTGTGTCTGGGAGTTTGTGGGAAGCGGTCGTGGAAGCCGTGGCTCGTCTCAGCCGCCCTGGAGCTGTCGAGGTAAAAAAACAAAACAAAAAAACCTTGTCCTATAACAACATTTTGCAGATTTAAGTTTGCACGTTTCCCATGATGCTGGAATGTTCAGGGCTCTTTTACTTCCTGGATGTTTTCTATTAATCTATGTTCCTATTAAGGCTTATGATTGCAGATTTTTTAGCGATTCTTTCAGTAAATTTTATTATCTGCAGATTTAATTTAATTTGAATCGGATTAAAATTCCACAGAAAACAGAAACATGGTTTCAGCTGCAACAAAGTAGCAAAAAAAAAAACCACGCAATTATTACCATCAAGTGTTTTTACTCTCACGTCATGAGTGGGTGTGGAAACATTTCACTCATTTCTGTTGTTTCCTGCAGCTTCGCCATCCTCAGAGACGCCAAGTTTGAAAACCGGTGGGAGAGAGCTGAGATGAAGAGGCGAGCCTTCCTGCTGTGCTACTATCTGCTGCGCTCCCCGTTCTACGACACATTCTCAGAGTAAGATAAACAGATTACATCCTGATCATAGACATCTCCCTCCCTCCACGAGGCCACGTTAAAAATAAGCCTAGAAGCAGGTTTAAACACGTCTTTACCAAAGAATTCCTACTTTAGATTTAGGTTCTTCCATATATGGTCATTTAAAATCTCGGGGTTGACATGAAGCGACCTTTAGTATTTGTCGTCTCTGTAACGTAGACACTGCTCTAAGATTATGCCGTTCACTGGTCTGTTAAGACTGGAAATTTTTCCTTCTGCTCCAGTTTTATTGGAAGCAGCAGATTAGATGGTTCTGAAACTCAAAGGAAATTAACAGATTTCTATTAAAATGAACCATAGAGATGTTCACCTGGAGAACCAAACCGTCCCCTCACCAGGAAAGAGCATAGCGCCTTCCTTTGGGTCCAATTCCTCTGGGGAGGTTTGGTTCTGACCCAGAACTTTAATGTTCATTAACTTAGGAAGGTCATCAAACCCTCAGATTTACAATCCTGATCATCCTCTGCTTCTGTAAGAGTCTACTTGGACTAGATCTACAGTCCTATTCGACCATTTGCGGTTAGAGACATTCTGTATGCCAAGGCTCAGAGACGGCTCCTACACCTGATCGGGTTTTCCCACCAGGCGGAAACGATTTGAGGAAGCTTTCAGCAAACTGATGATGCATCAGAGCAGCAGACACGCTGAGCTCCACAGAGGCTCCGTTCTTCCAGTAAAGACGGTTAACATATTCCTTGTTGTCTGCAGGGAAAAGATCATTTTCCTGCTCAGACTTCTGGCTGATCACGTCCCAGGAGTTGGACTTGTGGCACGTAAGTACGGCAGGCTGAGATTTAAGCTCTGACTCAAAATCTTTTTTTAATGTGAAAAGTTCTGTGAAATGTTTCAGAACCAGTCGGACCCCGAATCTAAGCTGAAGCTTCTGTTTGCAGGTCCTCTGATGGAGTACCTCCCCACCTGGCAGAAGATCTACTTCTACAACTGGGGATAAACCTTCATGGATTCCAGTTCCACCTGGAATATGGACCAACATTCCCGTCAGTCCTGGGAAACAGAGCTGAAATGTTATTGTTCTGATCCGGTTTGACCAACCCAGAGGACCGGTCTGTCTGCGGAGGTCAGGCATGCGGAGCGCCTCCATTCCTCCAGCCTGTAAATTACTCCCCGCCGACAGGCTTCCATCATTTGTGGAGTGAGCCAAGATCCTTCCCTGCAGGTCAAAGACGCTGAACTTTCCCACAACTGTTGATTTTTCCTCCAATCAGAGAAAACTCCCAGTTTTAGATTATTATTTCTCCTGCAGAAATAAAAGTTGACTGAAAGCATAAAGATGAGAGAAACTGAAGGCTTTCCATCTTTATTGACATACTGGATATGGTTCTTTGTAGCCTACAAATAAATAGTTTGATCCTTTCATGTGATTGGACACTGTTGGGTCAGAACATAAAGGAAATAATAAACATCTGCTGAACGTCAGGTCTGCTCCAAACATTTAGTACGAGCTTCAGGAAGCCCACACTTTCTGAAGCCAAAGATTAATTTCCTGAAAACAATCCCAGAATTTTGAATCAGAGGCGAGCTGCAGCAGACCTGAGGTTCGAACAGGAAACGCTGCGTAAGTGAGGATGCATAGTCAGATCCTGGAGCTGGAGGCGGCACTCAGGTCTGAGCTCCTAGCTGAACCGTTTTTAATGGGAGCAGAGGTAAGAACCTGCTGCGCAATCAGCTCAGGATGGCTCTGAAATCAGTGCTTCATGTAGAAGAAAAAACAGCCAAACTTCACTAGAAGTCAGCAGCTTTAAAACACGATGGATTCCTGAACTGAAACAAAACACAGCAGCTTGTTCTTAAATCGCACAATAAAACAAATACTTTAAATGTTCTCAATCAAAATCACATAGATTTCTGAATTAAGAAAAATAAAGACATCATGTTGAAACTCTAAGACCAGCAGGTTGGACAGAAACGGCCGTTTTAGAAAAGATTTCTTATTTTCTGATGGTTTATGAAAATAAAACTCAAGATTCTGCTAATGGGGGAAGGGAATACTGTCCTAGTGGAAGACGGGCAGCAGGGACGCCGTCTTCTCCATGCAAACGCTCCCCCGCCTCTGTCCAAATGCACAGGTCAATCGGGAGGCATTACGTTTTCCCTCCGATCGGCTGCCGGCGCTCAGTACGATCCGTAGCGATCCTTGGAAACATCACAAGGTCTCTGTTAGACGGAGAAAACCGACCGAGCAGGATGTTAGCGAGGAGCTAACAGGAACTCACCTGGATGGTGTTCATCACGCCGTTAGCGAGGACGGCCATCTTTCCTGCCACGGTTTTCACTCCCTGCTTGAACTGTGCGATGTCCGGGCCGGAAGGCAGGACGCTGTCGAAGTCCGATGCCCTGCCTGAGGATGGGAAGCAGAGCTGTTTCTACGGCAGGAGGACGGTGCCCCCCGAGGGACAATGTTTGTTTTAACAACTTTAAGTCATAGCATAAGTCATTCAATGTCCTGAAAAAAAAAAAAAAACTTTCCTTCCTGCTGTGGTTGATCAGAAACTAGGACCATTCAAAGATGTTTTTAAAGCAGTCCTGCCCTTCTGGACTCGGTAAAGTTCATCACTACAGGCGATAAACTAACTTAATAAAGTGATTTGGTTCTGGAAGATCAGACGGATCAGCATTTCCGACCGGCTGCTCTGATTCTTATGGAAACGCTGCCTTTATAAACCACCAACAGGAAACGATAAACTGCATGAAACAAACCAGCTAGCGTTAGCACGATGAGACGCTAGATAAAGAGTTTTCATTTTCATTAGAACTGAAAATGAGCTAATTAATATTGGAATAAAAGTTCATCTTTGATTTAAGGCGGAGGTCTCCTACCCCCTGGGGGTCCACAGAGGTACTGCATGGGGGTCACGAAGGTTTTGGTTGATTAGACTTTTTTTTCTTTTTTTTTTATATTCCCCCCTGCAATTTTTTCCACTAATTGAAATGTTTTTAAATCCACATTAACATGAATTCAACACACTGTAGTAAACAGATAAAAGGAGGCAGAAGATGTCTTTCAGTCATCAATGCACACATTCAGCGACACACAGGAGCTCTTTCAAGCTGGGCACCGTTTCATTCACAACACCTGTCCCATCAACCAGGAATCAGAATCAGAAATACTTTAATAATCCCAGGGAGAAATGACTTTCGTTACATTACTCCATCTGTAATAGAGTGACTATAGGACCAGTTTGCTAGAACACTATTTCATACAATTAAATATCATTTGGGGTCTCCGCTCCATGGTGCCATTGGTTTGGGGGTCCTTGGCCTGGAAAAAGTTGCAGACCCCTGATTTAAGGAATAATTTTATTTAGAACTGATTCAAAGAAAAGGAACTGCTTTGGGGTGAAAAAGGCAGATTTCTGTGGAAAGAGCGATAAAAGACTTCCTGTCGGATGGGAGGCTAAGTAGCCATGAACTGGTAACATTCAGGCCTGCAGCCAAATGAAGCTTCAATGTTTCCCAGCAGCTCGAACCTAAAGCCGACTCGTTTGATCTGCTCTGGTTCTGGCGTGGAGCTCAGTGGGTGGAAGCCCGTCTCACCTCTGGGGTCGCTGTCATCTCCAAACAGATCGGCCGAGCTGATGGAGGTGCTGCCAGACATGCCCTCCAGCCTCGTCTTCGCCTCGTACTACAGAGAACAGAGGTAAGACATGTTCAGCCTGCTGAGTGGAACCGGAGCGAAGAACCGGGTCAGACCCAACCCGGGCGCCTCACCTCGGCGTTGCTCTCCCGACCAAAGAACATGTCTGAGGAGATGGCCTTGGCGTTGGCGAACTTATCCCTGGCCTCACTGGACTCGGACATGGCAGAGGACGCCTCGGCTTTCCTCCTGCTGGGAAGCCTGGTGAAGAACATTGATCAGAACCGGAACCGACTCAGACAGACCGACTGTATGACAGAGCAGGGATACCTCTCTCCGATTGGCTGAATGCTGGAGATGGTCACCTCCTCTTTGGGCTCCTCCTTCTCCAGAGCCCAGGATGATGTAAAAGAGGCGCTTCCTCCGTCTGCGTCCCAGCGGGACCCGAAGCTGTCCCCAACTGAGAACGGGTTGTCTTTATACCTGAGAGAGAGAGCGGGGGTTAAACCCAGTGGGGTCGGGGGTCGGCTGTTAAAAGGGGAGGGGTTCTGGCGTACTTCGGGGGTCCAGAAGTGAAGCCTGGCTCGTCGAACACGTCCAGCTTGGAGCGGGAGGAAGACTTGGCTCCAACAGGAGTTTCCTGCTCAATCACCTGCATCTCTGACATCACCGAGTGAGACATGACACTGAAAGGACAGCAGCGACACGTTTAGGTCCTGAACGGTGGAGCAGAGGAGCTGCCCGTCGGACGCCTTACCTCCTGCTGCCGAAGCCCATCCCCAGCCGCTCAGCCTGCTCCCTCTTCTTCCCCTCCAGGTTCCGGAGCTTCTTGTCCTCCATCTTCCTGTCGATCTCCAGCTCCTTGTAGGCCAGGCGCATGGAGGCCACTCTGGAACAGAGAGTTATCCATCACAGCCTTGAGCTTCTGAACGTACCTCTGAGGTGAAGTAGAACAGCTTTCCTTACATGGACTCCTCAGCCTGCTTCTTTGCCTCCGCTGCCTGCTCCTCTCTCATCTTCTCAGCCACCTGAGCCTGTTTCTCCACCTCAGAGAAGCTCTTCCCGCTCACCTTCTGCGCACCGAGGCCTTTCTTAGCACCGAGCTGCAGCATCACAGACAGAAATTATTTGCTGATTGAGCTCTGCTTTCAATAATCGTTTAGCTTTCATTCATTCATTCATTCATTATTAAACACGTAAAACATTAGTTCATCAATTCCTACTGATCCATTTATTGCTTGGCCACCTAAACTGTCTTACTTATTACATCAATCCAGACTGTTTGTTGATGTTTATTCTAATGAAATGAAATTATTACAGCATCAAAACAACCATTGTTACCAGGAAATAATAACTTAAGCAACTATATGAACTAAAGCCACAAGAAATCCTCCTATTACATGAATTAAACTTTAATGTTTGGATTTTCTGTTTATTTCAATTATCAGTTCAACTCCAGATACAGAGAAACTGAAGTTTTCCTCTAACCCACTTTCCAGAGACAAACCAACCAGATCATGATTCTACGGAAGGGCAACTGAACTGTATAATTTGATTTGATCCCAAATTAAACTTTTAACTGTTTAATATGGGAAAAAAGTCAGAATTCTGACTTTAATCTCAGACTTTTTAATCTCAATGTAGATAGACACCATGAAGGAAGAGATGTGGGAGCGCTCAGCTTCACTGACAAAGATGTGAGTTTTTTTTGGAGGGCCAGTAACACATTGGGCGAAAAATGACGGACTTGGGTGACTTCTTATGTGCCTGAGGTGTCCCTGGTGATGCTATTTCATTAATGGAAGAGCAGAAGTTGATAAAACAAGAGAGCTTGTTTAGTCTCTAAGACAGACATGGCTACAGCTTGATGCTAACATGTTTGCTAGTAATCAGAATTCTGAGATTAAAGTCAGAATTCTGAGAAAAAAAGTCAGAATTTTGAGAATAAAGTCAGAATTCTGAGATTAAAATCAGGATTCTGAGATTAAAATCCGGATTCTGAGATTAAAATCAGGATTCTGAGATTAAAGTCAGAATTCTGAGATTAAAATCAGGATTCTGAGATTAAAATCACGATTCTGAGATTAAAATCAGGATTCTGAGATTAAAATCAGGATTCTGAGATTAAAGTCAGAATTCTGAGATTAAAATCAGGATTCTGAGATTAAAGTCAGAATTCTGAGATTAAAATCAGGATTCTGAGATTAAAATCAGGATTCTGAGATTAAAATCAGGATTCTGAGATTAAAGTCAAAATTCGGAGAAAAAATAAAGTCAGAATTCTGAGATTAAAATCAGGATTCTGAGATTAAAGTCAGAATTTTTATATTTTATATTACCTCCATTAACACAACAATAAAACGACTCAGGTTCAAATAAACTTAATGTTTCCTGGGAGCTTCAGGACCCATTATTGGTTTTTAGAGAATAAACCAGCTGATGGCAGCGTGGAACCTACGCCATGGAGCGCCTTTATTCTGAATGGATTGTGATTGAAAAGTATTGATACTTAAACACCATATCTGGATGCAAAACTAATTTTATGGTATTGATAGAAAGGAAAAATGTTAAATATTTCTGCTATTCTTACTTTTAGGTTTCTGGATTTTTTGGACAATAAAAGAATAAAACCTCAGATAACCTTATATTATTGTCTGATTTTGTTAACTTTGGATTATTTTGCATTTATTTTCACACTTTTTTTAAATCAGCAGCTGTGATTCTGTTGAAACAGCAGCTTCCATGTCGAAAAGGGTCAGTTCTTCTAGTTAAAAATTCATTATTTGATATTTTTATCCCCATGGTATGAAGCGTTGGATCAAACGCTGGTTCAGGTCGGTAAAACTCACCCCTTTCTTAGCAGCCATGGGCTTCTTCTTCCCAATGATGGATGGCTTCACTTCTGCAACACAGCAGAACGTCTCACTCACTGAATGTTTTTATTTTGCTTAAATCAGAGACTTGATTTGTTAATAAAACTGGCACAAACACCAAGCTGGTCTTGCTGTGGTTAACTCTCTTACAGCAGCAACATGGTCACTAAAGGCTCACGTTCAGTATATGTTATTCATGCAGTCACACAGTGGAACCAACAGAAAGAGGAGAAGGAACTTGTTTAAAGGTGCGAGACATCAGGACATTTAGCAGAGTTGTTAAACCATCCGTCAGCAGCCCCGTTCTTTCAGAGAAGCACAGCTAAACCCATGATTAGCTGCACAAAGGCTGTTTTTTACACAATGCACTAAGATTAGACTGTTCAGCTTTATTCTGCTGCAAACATCTTGTCAAACAGCAGGTTTGCCATAAATAGCAGAGAACCAGAACAGGTTCTCCTCCATGAGAAGCTTCAACCGAGCAGCAAACACTCAAAACCTTCACCTTTAGGCGTCCGTCCGTACTGCGGTGCCAAACGCATGGAGTTCTCTACAGTATGAGACGGTGGCCATATTGATTTCAGTCAGGAACAGGAACAGCTGAGCTTAAGCTCCTTCAGATAAACCTTTAGATTATTTTGTTTGGCCTGTTTTCTCCTGATTCTGATCCAGTTTCTTTATGTTTTCCCTTTAAAGCAGCCAGAGGTTCATTTTCTGTCAGTGTGGTTCTGAAGGCTGAATCCATAACAGAGGACTTAGTAGGGAATTTGGTTTCCATCTAGTTACCAGCAGCTTTTCACCAAGATGAATGAGACTGAAACAAGAATTCACCAACATGGTGATTCCCAGAGAGCTTTTAGCTGAAACCAGTTAAAGGACAAAACTTCTGGCTCAGAGGAAGGAAAGTATAAAGAAATTCCAGTCAGCTCAGGATGTTTGAAGCACTGAATTAGACGGATCCGATGAGTTTAATAATAAACATCAGAAGGTGAAAAAGTTGACTGATTTACTCACCGATAGAAGCTTGAGGCGACGTGCTCAGACCCTCGATGCTGGGTCCTTCCTCTGGCTCTACGAAACACCAAATAAAAGAACATTTACTACAGAAACTCGCAGCAGGGAGCTAAACCATCATCCAAAAGAAAACAAGCTGCTCGAAATTCTTAAACACTTGATCTTTTTAGAAGTTATAAGAATTTAATCGCTAAATATCATGAGTCACAGCCTGGAGAGGAATAGAACGTTTTAAGACTACAGAGTCAGTATGAGTTAACTTAAAAAAAAAAAGTTTTACAATAGAAACAATAAAATCACTAAACCTTCACGAGGTTCTTTTTTTTTACCCATAGATCTCAGATTCAGTGGGAAGGACTCCATTAGCTCTGTCGCTTCTAATATTCAGCCTGCTTCAGGGAAATAGCCACCCTGATCATCAACCTCCAGGGATTAGCTTCATCAGCGGGAAATAGAGCTAGCATAGCGACGTAAACCCCTGAACACACCAGCTGACTACGACTTTTTAATCCCGATCTGATTCTTTCTCCACGTCACACTGACTGCGTATAGAGAGGCTCCGACAAGCAGAGTGAGCAGATCTGTGCAGATAATTTTCACTTCTATCTCTGCGCTTTACACACATTAAAACAATTTACCACAATTGATTTGAACAGATTAGGAACAGATATTAAAATAAAAACCTTGGTGCATTCTATAAAGCAAAGCTCTACATGACGAGTCTGTGCAGCATCTCAAACCAGAACAAATAGGAAATTTTCATATATTAAAAACATACAGGTGCTGGTCATAAAATTAGAATATCATGAAAAAGTAGATTGATTTCAGTAATTCCATTTAAAAAGTGAAACTTGTATATTATATTCATACATTACATACAAACTCATATATTTCAGATGTTTATTTTGTTTAATTTTGATGATTACAAATGACAACAAATGAAAATCTCAAATTCATCATATCAGAAAATTAGAATATTGTGAAAAGGTTCAAAATTGATGGCCCCTGGTGCCACACTCTAATCAGCTAATTAACTCAAACCACCTGCAAAAGCCTTTAAATGGTCTTTCAGTCTAGTTCTATAGGCTACACAATCATGGGGAAGACTGCTGACTTGACAGTTGTCCAAAAGACGACCATCGACACCTTGCACAAGAAGGGCAAGACACAAAAGGTCATCGCTAAAGAGGCTGGCTGTTCACAGAGCTCAGTGTCCAAGCACATTAATAGAGAGGCGAAGGGAAGGAAAAGATGTGGTCGAAAAAAGTGTACAAGCAAGAGAGATAACCGCACCCTGGAGAGGATTGTGAAACAAAACCCATTCAAAAATGTGGGGGAGATTCACAAAGAGTGGACTGCAGCTGGAGTGAGTGCTTCAAGAACCACCACACACAGACGTATGAAAGACATGGGTTTCTGCTGTCGCATTCCTTGTGTCAAGCCACTCTTGAACCACAGACAGCGTCAGAAGCGTCTTGCCTGGGCTAAAGAGAAACAGGACTGGACTGCTGGTGAGTGGTCCAAAGTCATGTTCTCTGATGAAAGTAAATTTTGCATTTCCTTTGGAAATCAAGGTCCCAGAGTCTGGAGGAAAAGAAGAGAGGCACTTCATCCACGTTGCTTGAAGTCCAGTGTAAAGTTTCCACAGTCAGTGATGGTTTGGGGTGCCATGTCATCTGCTGGTGTTGGTCCATTGTGTTTTCTGAGGTCCAGGGTCAACGCAGCCACATACCAGGAAGTTTTAAAGCACTTCATGCTTCCTGCAGCTGACCAACTTTTTGGAGATGCAGAATTCATTTTCCAACAGGACTTGGCACCTGCACACAGTGCCAAAGCTACCAGTACCTGGTTGAAGGACCATGGTATCCCTGTTCTTAATTGGCCAGCAAACTCTCCTGACCTTAACCCCATAGAAAATCTATGGGGTATTGTGAAGAAGAAGATGCAATACACCAGACCCAACAATTCAGAAGAGCTAAAAGCCACTATTAGAGCAACCTGGGCTATCATAACACCTGAGCAGTGCCACAGACTGATCGACTCCATGCCACGCCGCATTGCTGCAGTAATACAGGCCAAAGGAGGCCCAACTAAATACTGAGTGCTGTACATGCTCATACTTTTCATGTTCATACTTTTCAGTTGGCCAACATTTCTATAAATCCTTTGTTTTTATTGGTCTTCAGTAATATTCTAATTTTCTGATATGATGAATTTGAGATTTTCATTTGTTGTCATTTGTAATCATCAAAATTAAACAAAATAAACATCTGAAATATATGAGTTTGTATGTAATGTATGAATATAATATACAAGTTTCACTTTTTAAATGGAATTACTGAAATCAATCTACTTTTTCATGATATTCTAATTTTATGACCAGCACCTGTAATCAGATCTACGTCTAAAGAAAAGAGAAACAGCAATAAACGCTATGGGACGGTTGCTATGCCGACTGAGGCAGAGAGGTGATTCTCAGAGAAAGGGAGTTTATCTAATTTTTTTCTTTATTTATTTTCATAAAGAGGTGAGAGATACGCCTCGCTTATCTGCTCTATCACCCCCTTGTTATTTTATTTTTGTAAATTTCAAAGGGGCTCTCTACTTTATCCATTTTCTGTCCTCCTGAACTCCTATCATGGGGAAAGTTTTCTATTTTATTATTTAATTTATTGTTTTTGCGCCAGTCTTTCCTGCTCCAACTCCAAACTGACTTTTTCTCAACAAGATTAAAAGATTTTTTTTTGCATTTTCCCACAAAGCAGATGTGTTTTACTTTGTAACTGCGTCTCTCTTCCTGTCAGACCCATGGAATTGCTGCTGAACTGCTGCGTAGTCCGACTAAAATAGACCTAGGCTCCATCTCAGTCGGAGCTGTGCAGCCCTCTGCAGGAAATCATCCCCATTGACTTTCAATGATGCTAAAAGCCACAACCTCTGAAGCATCATTTTCTGTCAGATCAGACACAGAATCAGGTTCAGTGTGTTTTGGCCTTTACTGATGTGCGAAAACCAGAAGACAATCAGCAGATTCTCTGTAAACATTATGATCATGAAAGAGAATAATGACCAAAAATAATCAATCCTGTTGAAATAAGCCGCAGCTGAACTACTTCCAGCTCTGACTGTATTTAAAATATTTTGTCATTGATCAGGAAGAAAACTGGTACAGGTCATCTAATGTCAAACCTGAGTCAAAGTTTATTTCTAGTTTCTTGCTTTGACAAAAAAAAAAAAAAAACTCTAGTGGATCATGAGTTTAGATTGCCTGAGCTACCAGAGGACAGGAGCACCAACAAATATTTTCACACTCATGCAAGACCTCCTCAGCGCCCTGATTAGCTTTCAGATGTATGAGCCTTCTACATAAAGGCAATAAAAATGTCTTAAGTGTTCATAACTTGTTAAAGAAAGAGCACGTATTATGAAAACAAGGGCTCTAGACTAGAGCCCTGAGGCACACCTGGATGGACTGGAAATTAAGAAATTTAGATCAGCTATAGAAAATAATCGGCTTTATTCAGCTGAAGTAGGACTAATGCTGCACTAAAAAATTTGCAAAACCCATAAAAAGTTAGAAGGTAGAATAAAGCATGGATGAAAAATCTAACATTAATCAGAATGACAGACGGACCGGCGAGGAGAAGCACGGTTCATCCCACCAGGCGACTGGTTCACTTTTATATACATTTAGATCAGGGTTCCATAAAGCTCAGAACAACCGAAGCCAAAGCTGATTATTTTGAAACTCTTCTGAATCAAACATCTGGGTTAAATTGAAGTGAAAGTTTTAGTGATTTAAAAACAAGCTTTATACTGTTTGTTTTAAGATTCCATTCCTTTAACTGCTGTAATCCAGTTAATCCTGGGATTAACCCGGCAGGATAAACATGGCTCAATAAGCCAAACTTTCCTGTCACACCGATGGAAATTGTAGTGGGGAAAAAAGTATTCAACTATTTACTCCAGTTAAATAAACGGAGATTGATGGATTTCACTCAGTCGGCACTTTATTTTCTATATCGCTGCAAAGAGAGAACAGTTCATCATATAGCTGTTCTGCCTGTGCAGCATTCGTTCCCCCTTACTTAGATTAATGGAAAGTTGTCAGAGTAAAAATCAATTAAAGACACTGGTTAAACTGTAACATGTTATGAATAAACCTTGAGAAAGAATCTGGTTAGTTATGGGAAGAAGAAAAAAATTGTGTGACCTTACAGGGCAAACAGACTGAGTGAAAAGTTTTATAATGAGTAAATAGGATAAATCAATATATGAAAAATCTAAATTTTCCGACCACAAAAGCCCTCAGACAAGCGGAAAGGTTACTGCAACAGAAAATCAAGATAGTTTGTTGGTGAGGTGGCGTTTGTCCATGATGGGCTGTCTATGTAACCTGGATTTGCTCCGAATATCCATCTGGAAACCTTCCGTTGAAGTAATTTTGGGAAGGGGGGAAAATACTGGTTAGCTGATTGGCCTATGTTGGTGATAGACGGGCCAAATAACCCAATCAGATCAACGAAGCATATGACGTACTAACAGAGCGACGACGAAGAGGAGCCAATTGATAGATCAAACTCTTGCCAAAACCAGTCGGAAGAAGAGCAAAAACATCTCTTCCTCTGAGAAAAGCCTCCAGAGCAGTGTTTGGCTCTTCTTTCAGTGAAGAAATACTCTGTAATTCCGATAAAACTTGCTCGATAGCCACGCTAACACTAATTTCATCGGCTGAAGCCTCTATGTTCTTTAGACTGAACTGTCGCGATTCTCGTTGCGTCACACCTCAACCCGCCTCAAAGCCAACGCTGATTGGACGTTCGTTTGGTGAACGGCTCCAAATTTTCTTTAACGGAGAGTCTACAGACTGATCTGCGACTGAAACCTTGAAAGCTCGCAAGATCAGGATGGTCTCACGAGGCTACTGTCTCTGTACAATTTTTGATTCCTAGGAAGGTCGTCACTGAAGCATTTGTACCTTTTTGCTCCTGACCAGGTCCTTCCTGCTGGACGACCTGGTATAGCTCAGAGCAGAAACCTTTATGTTCACACACCAAACAATTATACTGAGGTTGACTTACGGCCGTCATCCTGGGCTTTGGACGTTGTGTCCGCCATCTGCAGGGAGACAGAGGATCCATTCTGCTCTAAAGGGGGTGCTATGTTCCAATCACTGGTAGGCTGGAAGGAGAGAGAGAAATATTTTCCACATTTAAATGAAAGGTGATAGATGTGTTTATACAACAGCTCTAACACTGGGTGAGATAATCGTATTAATACTGATGAAAGAAAATGAGGCACTTCAATCAGCTGACCAGAAAAGACATTTAACAGCAGCTGTAACATACAGGTGCTGGTCATAAAATTAGAATATCATGAAAAAGTAGATTGATTTCAGTAATTCCATTTAAAAAGTGAAACTTGTATATTATATTCATACATTACATACAAACTCATATATTTCAGATGTTTATTTTGTTTAATTTTGATGATTACAAATGACAACAAATGAAAATCTCAAATTCATCATATCAGAAAATTAGAATATTACTGAAGACCAATAAAAACAAAGGATTTATAGAAATGTTGGCCAATTGAAAAGTATGAACATGAAAAGTATGAGCATGTACAGCACTCAGTATTTAGTTGGGCCTCCTTTGGCCTGTATTACTGCAGCAATGCGGCGTGGCATGGAGTCGATCAGTCTGTGGCACTGCTCAGGTGTTATGATAGCCCAGGTTGCTCTAATAGTGGCTTTTAGCTCTTCTGAATTGTTGGGTCTGGTGTATTGCATCTTCTTCTTCACAATACCCCATAGATTTTCTATGGGGTTAAGGTCAGGAGAGTTTGCTGGCCAATTAAGAACAGGGATACCATGGTCCTTCAACCAGGTACTGGTAGCTTTGGCACTGTGTGCAGGTGCCAAGTCCTGTTGGAAAATGAAATCTGCATCTCCAAAAAGTTGGTCAGCTGCAGGAAGCATGAAGTGCTCTAAAACTTCCTGGTATGTGGCTGCGTTGACCCTGGACCTCAGAAAACACAATGGACCAACACAAGCAGATGACATGGCACCCCAAACCATCACTGACTGTGGAAACTTTACACTGGACTTCAAGCAACGTGGATGAAGTGCCTCTCTTCTTTTCCTCCAGACTCTGGGACCTTGATTTCCAAAGGAAATGCAAAATTTACTTTCATCAGAGAACATGACTTTGGACCACTCACCAGCAGTCCAGTCCTGTTTCTCTTTAGCCCAGGCAAGACGCTTCTGACGCTGTCTGTGGTTCAAGAGTGGCTTGACACAAGGAATGCGACAGCAGAAACCCATGTCTTTCATACGTCTGTGTGTGGTGGTTCTTGAAGCACTCACTCCAGCTGCAGTCCACTCTTTGTGAATCTCCCCCACATTTTTGAATGGGTTTTGTTTCACAATCCTCTCCAGGGTGCGGTTATCTCTCTTGCTTGTACACTTTTTTCGACCACATCTTTTCCTTCCCTTCGCCTCTCTATTAATGTGCTTGGACACTGAGCTCTGTGAACAGCCAGCCTCTTTAGCGATGACCTTTTGTGTCTTGCCCTCCTTGTGCAAGGTGTCGATGGTCGTCTTTTGGACAACTGTCAAGTCAGCAGTCTTCCCCATGATTGTGTAGCCTATAGAACTAGACTGAAAGACCATTTAAAGGCTTTTGCAGGTGGTTTGAGTTAATTAGCTGATTAGAGTGTGGCACCAGGGGCCATCAATTTTGAACCTTTTCACAATATTCTAATTTTCTGATATGATGAATTTGAGATTTTCATTTGTTGTCATTTGTAATCATCAAAATTAAACAAAATAAACATCTGAAATATATGAGTTTGTATGTAATGTATGAATATAATATAAAAGTTTCACTTTTTAAATGGAATTACTGAAATCAATCTACTTTTTCATGATATTCTAATTTTATGACCAGCACCTGTATTTACAGACAGACATTTCTTCAACAACGTTAAAACATTTAGCTTTGAATATCTGAGTATCAAATAAAACCTAAGAGTTCCCCAGTGCTGAGGATCAGTTAGCAGACAGACAGATGTAGCCGTCTAATGCTGCGTACATACTGAACGCCATTTGAGCAGCAAAGAAGCGTCTGCTGGAAGTAGATGTTAGTGTTTTTCAGGTATGTTGTACAAAATGGAACATATTCTGACGGCAGGTTTCAACATGTTAAGTTAATTCAGGTGTAAATAAACTGTTTCAGAGGAGAGATCATAGCGGTCTGCAGCAGTGCTGTGTCCGTCTCCCTGCCAGCTCCCAGATCAGCTTCTCTGATTGGTCGATGTGACGCGTCGAGCAGACAATTGTTTCAAACTGCAGCAGCTGTTGCTTGTGAAGCGCGTTGCTACTGCTGCTTTAGATGCGCTGCAGGACCTTTTGATGTGCCTCAACCATAGACTCGCCATGTAAACCTTCAGCTGCTTGAATTTCACTCAGTGTGGACGTAGCATAACATCCTCTATGTCTGAAAATCAGCTACTTGTGGTCAGCTGATTCCATCCAAACACAGAAGCTGGCAGCAGCTGATCCGGCCTGGAGCAGCACAATGATGCACAGAGGCGGGAGTGTGATGATATGAAACTCGGTGATACAGAGAGAGCATCTTATTTTAACCAATTGTAAAGGCTGCCTCTGGGAACACTTTGCCAAATTGTTTATCATAATACCCCAGAAAACACTAGTAACTATAAAAGCGGGTAGAACTGGTTCAAAGCAGTACTTCAATGTCATACATCATCAGGTTTAACAGTTTAATCCAACCTGATAAAGTTCCAACTCTTATGCTGCCAACGGTCGGCCCTCACTGTGCTTTTCACCAGAGCTAAATGTAACAAGTTGCATCTTGAATTAAATTTTAAGTAAACCAATATTTGTTGGGTTTTTACATCCCAATGTCATGCCTTCAAGCTGTACATGTAAGCTGGATGACCTCTGACCCTCTGAATGGTGTGTACTTATAAGTACACACCATTTAATCTGTTCTCTTCACAAACATGGCTAAACTTTTTTATCATAAACTCTGAAATCTTCATATGAGCTTTGAAATAATAAAAAAAAGAAATCTAACCTGAGTATGTTCAGCAAAAAAGTCTTCCTCCTTCTTGTCAGGGGCAGCAGATGCGGAAGAATCGATCCAAAGCTACAACAGAAAACCAACATTTATTTAATGTTTTTCATGCAGGAGATCCCTTTGAATTTAATATTAATGCTACAGATGTGGCTGGAATCTCACACCCTGTGTACTCTGGACAGGATACACTGAGCTACTACACAGATACACGTCGTTATCAATGTTTTGTAATGAGTCAAAGATCCTGTTAGTTCAGACGGACACTTGCATAACCAGACAAGTGCAGCCTGTTCCCTTCCCAGGCCGTCATCCCGTTGAACCACTCATTCCCACAGCGCTCCTAACTGGATGGGATTTGTCGTCTTCTTTTGATCATTTGAAACAAAAGATGGAAGCATAGAGCTACGTTCAGACGGCACACACTGGACCTAATGTTCCAAAACCAGAGAGACACCTGTTTGTCTTACGATGATGACCAAACTGACTTTTGGTAAAATAGGAGATGTTTATGAAGGCAGCTTTAAAAGAACCAATTTCTTTCAGCACTTTTAAATATTTACCATACATTCAAACCTCTATCCATCTATATAGCAGAACTGATTATCTTTATATCTATGTGGAGACACGTTCAGGAGCAACGATAGGACACGTTTCAAAAGATGCGAATGGTTCAATTAGAGAAAATAGGCATGTTTTGACAGCAAAACATATTAGCAAGTTTAACTTCTTTCAGTGTTTCCTTTATTACTGAAACTGATGGTTAAGATAAATGTAAAGCTGCATAACAGGATAGTTGATTTAAACGATAATGTCCAATTTCAGCAATGTAGATTATATTTAGAAATGAATAATTCCATCATCTTTCTTTAAACTCGACCAAAACCTGACAGCAAACAAACATTAAGCATTGATAAAAGTTAAAATTTGGATCTTTGATATTTTTGTTAGTAAAATACTTAATTTGATAGTAACAATATTAAAGCAAGAGGAAAAAAAAGGGAGATTCAAATTAGTTCAGAACAGAACAAGCGAGTAAATATTTTACAAGCAATTTAAATGTATTTGTGAATAAAAGAAAGTAATAAAAAGAATATAGGATTTTATTTTCTTACAATTATATCAGATATGTTGAACTTTTTTTCTACGATCTGCAACTTTCTAAAAATGTCTTTTTTTAAGGACTGTGAACCAAAAACTGTATTAATCACATCTGTGCCGCACTGATTTCCGCTATAAGATGGTTCTTCTTGGAAAACGTTCCTGATAATCACCTCAGTTCCATATTTGGACAACGCTGCGTTGGCCAGCTGCCGAATCTTCTCCCTGTACATCTGGGCTGCACGGCTGTTGTACTTGGCGTTGGTGTCGTTGGTGGAGCAGCCGTGCTGACGGAAGAAGGCCGTCTTCACGTGAAAGGAGAGAGTGTAAAAGCAACAAGTCAGGAGGAATTCAGAGCAACCTTAAACACAACTGATCTCAGAGCTGTGACTCACCGCATTGGCGTTCCCTCCAACCTGCATACATCTGAGCTGAAACCAGCTCCAGTTGGAGTCTAACTCTGTGGATCTGTGGAAAAATGAATCAAGACATCATCTACTGAGAGGAGTCCAAATGCTGCTGATTAATCAGATGGTCCAACTCCTTAAAGATAAATCATCTTCTAATGAGTTAAACCGTTATGTACAGACAGCAGCGATGGAGGCTGAGCTGGTCTGAGGCTTACCTGATGAAGCTGAGATGAACTCCCAGTGAACGATGGATGCCAGAGCAGTCGATGCACAGGAAAACGCCATAGGAGATGCTAGCCCAGCTTGGGTTTTTGGCAGCACAGTCAAAACAAGCCTTCATGAAAACAACAAATGATTTCAGCAATCAGTGACACCACAATAATAGAACTTAATCAGCTAATAAACAACAACTGCTATACTCATCAGGTTTTCCCTTAGAAACAGAGACAAGTTTTCTGACTAATTTGTTTTCAGTTTAAATTTTGCATCTCAATGTTTTAGTGAAAACTTTAAACAAACTCTGGATCAAAAGCATTACTCTGAATTTTTATAAAACAGTGGCTAAAAAAAAGGAAGCTCTATTTATGTCCCTTTTGTTTTGATTTTGTATTCTCTTTATGTTTGTGTTCACATCAAAAAAGGGAAAATTTGTATTGATGTATTGATTTTAATGTCTGATTCATAAAACTGTATGACAAAAAAGGAAGCTCCATATCAAACAGCTTTTAAATGTAATTCTTAAGATCAAAATATATTAACCCTATCATGCTTATTGACAAATATTTGAATTTATGTTATATTTAATAAAAGAGGACAATATTTCATTTTTCAGCTTTAACACAATTAAAGTTAGCTTAGTTTATTTTATAGTTTTTATATTTATGTATTTCAGATTCATATGTCATCTCCATTTAAATGTTTTTTATCATTTGAAATTGACATATAAAGAAATGATCTCACACCATTTATCATTTAAAAAAATGCAACAATTGTTGTTCAACAAATAAATGAAAAGAAGAAAACAGAACATTTAAAGAATAGAGACAGACCAAGACATTGCTTGGCTGTTTTTTTCTTGTATTGGCTGATGTGTTTACCAGTTCATTCAGCAGCTTTACATTGAGATCTCGTTAAGCACATTAAATGCACTCCCTCCATTTGCTATTTACTGTTAAAAGTTTTGCTTGATTTTTTAATAATTGCCATCTATTCTTTTAACGGAGACTTGCAACATGTGTTATTGTGTCATTTTGTAAATTAAAGGAAAAGCAACATAAGCTTAAAAAAAATAAAATAGGGCAGCACATATCTGGGACCGTTAGATTGATCTGTATTCGATGTAAAAGAGCAGCATGAGTCAACCTCTGATAAAGAACAATTCAATTCAGTTTATTTCTATAGCGCCAATTAACAACATGTCATCTCAAGGCACTTTATAGTTCACCAGATCATCCAGTCAAATTAATTCGAAGTTTTCTATCTAAGGAAAACCAGTTGATTGCCTCGACTCATTGACTCGAATGCAATCCCTCATGCTAAGCATGATTGTAGCGACAGTGGAGAGGAAATACTCCCTTTTAACAGGAAGAAACCTCCAGCAGAACCAGGCTCAGTGTGAGCGGCCATCTGCTGAGGCAGACTTGGGGTTAAAATCTTTTGGAAGAATAAAATTGTGGTTCAGATTCTTTGATAGATTTGAAATCCAACACAAGAAGAAGGAATAGGAAGATCATCCCTCCTTAATAACTAGTCCCAGATCACTGCAGCTCTGGTTTTACGGTATGAATGTTAAGTGTATACCTGGTTCCTAAATATTTAAATCGAACCCATAGTGTCTAAACCCACACAACAAATACTTTAAACTGCAGTTATTTCTAAAAGCAGAAACTAATCTTTCTGTTAAAGTTTGTCAACAACATAATACCTTAAAAACCATAAACACGAATAATACACAACTCCAGAATTAAAAAAGTGGATTAACTTTTTTATCCGAACAGCCTAAAATAAAATTAAGAAATTATCTCAGCCAAAATGCTGCATATTGGGCAAGACTTTATAGTGTAAAACCTACATAACGTTTGACATCTTTTACATGAGTCATATGAGAACATTTTACATCTAGTTGTAAAATACGTAAGTAGATAATCAATTAATTTGAATTATTTATACACAGTTAAATTAATGTTTACTGATCTAAACATATCCCTGTGTTAGGATTATTTAAAAAATAAATACATTTGAGGACATAGAGGCTAAACACAAGTTAGGGAATCCAAGGTGCTTCAGATTTAAACTGATAAACTGGGATAAAGAAACGCTACATAAACTCACTGATGAACAAACGATTAATTGTGGATGAAAAACTGAAAACCGTCACAAAAAATGAGTGTGGCTCTGATAAAAATGTCCGACACAATGTTGAATCAAAGGTTTTAAAAGACTAACAGATACAGCAGCTTGTACTATCTAACAGCAAACCCAACAACATGGCGTATAAACGCTATAGTGACATTTATATCCGCTATGGGCGACGTTTATTCAACAGTATAATAGATTTTAAACGTTTCCGGTCACAAATTAGTTTAGAGAAGCGAAACAGGGTTTTTCTTCCAGACAAGAACAAACCGTTTACGTGGCCTTGGTGTGCTACTGGACCGGCAGGCTAGCGGAGGTTAGCTCCTGTTAGCCGTTAGCTCTGATTCCACATAGAATTTACTGTAAAATTGTTAGCTTCCACTAGCTTGCTTTTAGCAACCCTTAGCTCTGGTTAGCATCCAATGCTAACCGATGCTAATAAAATGTATGTATAAAACGAGCCAATGCCAGTAAAAAGTAAACTAAAATAACAACACAAAATAGATTAAATATATCGGATTAGATTACCTTATTGGTAGGAATTGATCTTAATCTTTTGAAAATCGTCAGGATTTCGGTCTTGTTTGGTTCCGTAGCCATCTTTCCACCGTTTGACGTTCTTCTTCTTCTTCTTCTTCTTCTTCTTCTTCTTCTTCTTCTTCTTCTTCTTCTCTTCTATTATGGCGGATCACAAGCAACTTTAAGGTGCATACCGCCACCTACTGTACATGAGTGTGTAGCAGCGTTACTTCACATCTATTAGATTCTATTTTTTAATTTTGTATTCTTAAGATACAAAAACAATGCTTTCCTTAGTTTATGAATATCTGTTATGTTTCCTTCATTTCCTAATATTCCTTTAAGATTCCATTCATGCCCTATACTTCTAACTATTCTCTTTAATTTTTCCCTTTCGTGTTCATATAACTTACAGTTCATCAGTATGTGTTCTACATTTTCTTTTTCACCACATTTCTCACATTTCTCACTATTTTTCCTCCCTATTAAGTAAAGCATGTCATTTAAGTAGGTATGACCTATTCTTAATCTACTAACTATTATTTCTTCTCTTCTGTTTCTTTCATTAATGTTTCGAATTCGAACTGACTTTTGCACTTCATATAATCTTCTTCCTTTCCTATCTTCGTTCCATATTTTTTGCCATTCCTCCATTTCTTTACTTTTAATAAGTGATTTCCCTTCCCCTTTTCCAAAAGGAATTGAAATCGTTATTTCCCCCTCTAAAGCCCTTTTAGCTAATTTATCTGCCTTTTCATTGCCTTTTACTCCTTCATGTGCCGGCACCCAACAAAACCAAACATCAATGCCACCCCTATATAGTCTAAATAAAATATGATGAATTTCTAATACCAAATCTTTTCTATTATTTCCTTCTCCCTTAATACTTTCCACTACTGCTTTAGAGTCTGTGCACACCACCACCCTGATTGGTTGAATCTCCTCCACCCATTGCAAGCCTAATATAACTGCCACCATTTCTGCTGTAAATACCGACAATTGATCTGATATTCTTTTGTGAATACATTTTTTAAACTCTGGGATATATATTCCTATACCCACATAACCTTTTAGATTTTTAGAACCATCTGTATAAATTTTAAGGTAATTATTATATGTAGTTCTTAAATAAATATCAGTTTTTATCCCTATTTCATTTATATTCCAATCATTTTTCATTGTATTGATTTGCAAATCTACATTAACCTCAGGTATTAGCCATGGAGGAATAACGCTAATTGGGTTAAATTGAGCTATTTCCTTGTCTTCTAGTCTATACTTTTTAATCCATTTCCTAACCATCCATCCAAATCCATTACTTTGGAACTTCACATATTCCCAACAATTTTGCAGAATAGTTGAATTCACATGATTATCTATATTACTTTTAATTTTCATCCAATATGCTAAAGCTAATTTAATTCTCCTCATTTCAAGTGGAGTTTCCCCACTTTCAATTAATAGAGCATTAATAGGTGTTGTTTTTATTGCTCCTGTACATATTCGTAAAGCCCTACACTGTAATCTTTCTATTTTTTGTAATGATGTTTTAGCTGCTGCTCCATATATAATGCTGCCATAATCTATTATTGCTCTCATTAGAGCCCTGTATATGCTTAATAATGACTGTCTATCTGCCCCCCAATTGTTTCCAGCCACAGCCTTTAATATATTAATAACTTTTTTACATTTGGTTTCTAAGTTATCTATATGTGTTTTCCATGAGTAAGAACTGTCCAACCATAAACCTAGATATTTATATTCTGTTACTCTTTCTAAAGTCTGTCCATATAATGTTATTGTTTCTATATTAATATTTCTCTTCTTTGTGACAACCATATAGCAAGATTTGGTTGCTGATAATTTGAAACCCCATTCATAAGACCATTTTTCAACTTTACTAATTGCTTTTTTAATATTTTCTACAACATGTTTAATATTTTTCCCTTTCATCCATATGGCCCCATCATCTGCATATAGTGCAGATTTTATACATTTATCAGTTTCATAGAAAATATCATTGATCATAATATTAAATAAAATTGGACTAATTACACTACCTTGTGGTATTCCATTTTCAACATTATATTCATTTGAATAGTCATTCCCAATTTTTACTCTTATTTTTCTATTTAGTAGAAAATTTGCTATCCAATTATACATTCTCCCACCTATTCCCATCTGTTTCATTTTTATAAGTAATCCTTCTTTCCATAGTGAGTCATATGCTTTTTCTATGTCAAAAAATACTATAATCATTATTTCCTTCATTTTTAAAGCTTTCTCTACACCGGCAGCCGCGCCCCGCACGTGAGCGGGGAGAGGGCCTCCTCGACGGAGAACGGCGCCCCACCCCCCCGGCCGTTTGACCGGTCGGGGAGGAAGGAGGGAGCGCTGAGTAAGGGGAGGACGGCGGAAGCGACGGGCACCCGGGGCCGGGTACTCGCGCGTCGCGCCGGGCGTCCCGGTCTGGTCTGCACTTAGGGGGACGAAGGCGGTCCAGGCCGCCTGCACCGTTTGACGTTACCGTCTATTGACGTCACTTAAAGTCACGTAGACTACGGAAAGCGAAAGTTACTTTGTCAAAAAAAAAATATATATGCAAATACTCAAAAAATAAAATTCAGAAACACAAATTAATAAAACTTAAATAATAATTAAGATTTTAAGGAATCGTGCATTTAAGAGTTTCCACATTATAAATATTGAAATGGACCAGAACCATTAAAAAACATGCCATTCAATCAAGCTCTTCATCTGGATCATGGCATCATATTGGCCCTTGACAATAACATAAAATAACTCTAATTTATTATGACGTGTCATTTAAATCACATATAAAACAGGTTTTTATAATTCATTATTTCACCAGAAAAGTGCAAAAAAATTTATGGAAATATAACTGTTCCACCTTAATCTGCTAAAATGACCACAAAGCCTGCAAAACTCTAAACTGACCATATAATCCCCCCCCACACACACACACACCCTCAAAAAAACAAAAACAAAAATACAATCTCCATCTTCACTCAGGGATCTGATTGTTTCTTATGTCCCTAAAGAGCCCTTCGCAATGTAGTGTCACTGATACTGCGTTTCCTTAGACAGAAAAGTTTTAAACAATCTTTGGTGAAGATTTCTCAGTAAAGTGTCTTCAGATAATATTTGAACCAGCACTATATAAATGAAGCAAAATGAATTAAAAATATTTACATTGCCCTTATTTTCTTGTGCTGTATCTTTCTTGTAAAGGAAAATGAACGTGTTGTTCCAAAGTCTTTTCCAACATTTCTTTCGAAACATGACTAAGAAATTCAGAGCATTTCCTTCTAGTTATTTTTGATAACTACTTGGTAATGTATCAGTCAATGGAATGTTTTATATATGATATTTGTATGATATGTATAAAAACTCAAAATCATGACCGGTAGGTTAATTGGCTTTTCTAATTTCTCCTTAGGTGGAAGTGTGTGTGAACGGTTGTTTGTCCTGTGTGTCTCTGTGTTGCCCTGCAATGGACTGGCGACCTGTCCAGGCTGGACCCCGCCTTTTCGCTTGTAGACATCTGGAGATAGGCAATAACACCCCTCGCAACCCCAGCTGGAATAAAGCGTGACAGAAAATGGATGGATGTATAAAAACAAAAAAATTTAAGTGAATAAATGCATACCTAAATAAATTCAATATCTATTTAGCCAGAACAGTCTCATTAAAGCTCTTCATCATCTCTTCCTCCTGCATAATAAACAAATCAACAACAAAGAAAGGAGCTACAGATGTAAATAAAAATGCAGAAAAGTAAGCAGATTCCAAACACATCGCTGCAGGAAAGTATCCACTCCTGACAGATTTCTCTTAATTTTGTATTTTTGTCACACCTATATTTTATCACATTCTCAAGAAATTACTAACAAACAAAGATAATCTGGGGGGGAAAAAATCTGTGCAAAGTACTCACTTCTATTGTTCATTTATGGATTAACTGTGACTGAACACATCTTTGGTACCTATTCACTAAATGACCTGACTACTGGCAGACCCATAGAAACAAAAACTGGCAAATAAAAGAATATATAAATATATGAAGTATGCTCAAAAAATAACATACCACATTTCAAGACATGGTGGTTGCTTTGTGATCTTCTCTACCCCTTTATGACCTCCATCAATTTAGGTAAATCATGCTCTTTAGCAGAAGATCATGCAGGAGAATGTCAGAGCTTTATTTAGGACGTTAGCCTGTGCAGCAGCAAAACTACCTCTAAGCGGTCTAGTCAAAGGCTGCACCTAAACAACAAGAAAACAAAGCCAGAAATGGAAATCGTTGAGGGTGAATGTTTCTCCCAGCCTTGCGTGGACCTTAAAAGAACTGCTTTTCATCTGTAACTCAGGTTGTTCAGTTAATTGCAGGTTCTAGCTGTGAATAGTTTTGTCATTTGCTATTTTTATTACAGCATGGATGGTTTGAAGTGAGCTCAGATCCAGTCAGACCTGTTGGATGACCTCGGAAGGAACGGCCTCCTTCATCTCGGCTGCTGAAAGTTGTGTGTTGGACTTTGTCACGAACAGATTCTTGAAGGCATCATGGGGGCAGGTGCAGTTCTGTGTCTGCTGGTCGCTCTGCTGGCGACGGGCTCAGCTGTCGGCTTTTATGGGGACAGCATCAGTTTCTCACCACCAAGGACGAACAGAGATGGAACATACAAGGTAAAGAACATCACTGCTTCAAACGATCTGTTTTTAGTTTAACTTGATTCTCCAGAGAGTAACACTAAAACTTAAATAATCAAACAAACAACATTTTTGTTTCTTAATGAAACCTTTGGTTTGTTATAGCAATGATTTCCAGTTTCCTGACTAAAGAAACAAAACATCCATGTAGAATAAAGAAAAAAGAAATAAACAAAAGAAGTAATTTTTGGAATGCTCCACATCTGTGTGGCATCCATACTTGCTGAAGAATCTCCTAATGACTTAGGTTGAAAATATGTTTTTCAACTTTCTATCCAGCCTGCTTATTTATAAAAATAAATAAATGGTAGAAAGAATTAACTTCCTTTGATCTAAAGGTAAAATAAAACTGATCAGATTATGATCTAGTTTCTCTTTATTTAGAGCCTAAGAAGCCATGATAAACTGTTCTCCAGGTTTTTAACTAACTTTTTGGTTCAGTTTTGGTTTCTGTTATTCAGCGGAACCCAATAAGTATGACCTCTGAGTTTTTGGTGGACCTTAATGTAGAGAAAAGTTTGCTTTAAGATATTTAACTCATGACAAACAGCAGGAATACAATCCAGTAAAGCGCTGATGAAGATTATACAGGTTATAGTCGTTCCGTAAAAGTAAAAAAAAAATCCACTGGAATTGGTTTTCAAGATTTGAAGACGTTTTAACGACTGACCTTCAGAATCATAGACAGGTTTCAGGTATTACAGGCTAACAATGGAACCAAACGACCCACTCATTGGTTACCATTTGCATGTTTCCAAGCAATACAAGGCTTTGTCTATATAAGATTCAAACTCACTGCGGATCCAGACATTTGAATTGAGAAAGCTTCCTGGAGAGGTGGCGAAACGTCTCCAAATCTTGGAAACCAATTCCAGTGGATTTTTTTGAACTTTTACGGAAATCCAGTAATCCGCTGACCAAAGAAACAACAGATGCATCACCTTTCAGCTGAAGAACTTTAAGTCTTGTTTTCTGGTTGTGTAAGCTGCTATACTTGGGCTTTCACATATTTGTTGAAAGAGCTGCCTAAATGTCAAATTTAGAAGTAGAACTGAGTAAGAAAGCAGTGAAAGTCTAAAGAAAACTAAAGAAAGAACAGAAAAACTTTGCCTATTCAGCCAGGCCAACAATTCCCTTTAACGACCAACCTTTTAGACACTAGACAGGTATGGGGCATTGCAGGCTAACAAAGGAAGCCAAACGACCCACATCCCAAATGGTTGGACCCCTTTGTCTGTTCCAATTTGCATGTTTTCAAAACAAAAACAAGGCTTTGTTGGGCTAATGTATAAAGCCTCAAACTCAACGCTATTCCTGACATTTTGAATTGAAAAAACTTCCTGGATGGGAAGCGAAACGTCTTCAAACTTGGAAACAAAGTCCAGTGATTGTTTTTTTAATTTTCCCTTTTTGGAATGACCATGACCTGGATGACTGAGAATCTTCACCAACATACTAAATTAATAGATTTGAGGAATGTCTAGATATATGGAGGAATTACTTTTATGTTTGAATTATGTTCTATGGACCCTGCAGGTGACTTTTTATCACAGACAAAATGGCAGAAATGACTGTCAGAACCAGTCATCGTTGGTCTGTGAAGGTGGGGTGTGCACAGACTTGGACCAGACGGATGCGCTCCAAACGGATCAGGACTCTTCAGGCCAAGGCAGGTGGTGCCAGACCGAGAGACGTACAACAACAAACTTTCAAGCCAATGGGACGAGTTTCACTCTGAGGTGAGTCCAGATCCCACCAACTGAAACCAGAACTTCCGGTACCCTGCTCCAGGTTTACTCTGAGGAGCTCTCCATGACGCAGCCCAAATTACGTCTGAAACGCTGCAGGCAGAATGAGAACTATGCAGACACATGCTTATGAAAAATGGTTCAATTACTCAGACTTCAGAAGACGTTCCAGCAAAGTTTTTCAACTGCGTCCAAGTTTCTACTCATTAAAATTAATGCTTTGTTTTTTTTTTCATTTAACAAATACATACCACAAGTTAATTTAATCTTATGCAACAAAGGAGGAACATTTACTAGAGATGTCCCGATCCAGGTTTTTGCACTTCCGATCCGATACCGATATTGTTTTTGGACTTCCGATCCGATACCGATACTGGCCGATACCAGCCTATCCGAGCATGTATTTAAGTTTAAGTTAAAGTATTTAGCCTTAGTTGTAAGACTCATGTTGAAAAGGGTTTTAGTACTCTTGATAACATCTAGCCAGCTAAATTAGATGAGATTAAATAAAACACAATGCTTGGTAACAACAAACTTACCTGTTTGTTAAGAGATAAACACAAACTGGACAAAATTAAGAATAGCAATCTGAAATTGCACAGTGAGCAGTAAAACCGTAAACAGTTAAAGGTGCAAGTATTACTGTAAGTTTTAATAAAAATGCAAAACAGGGGAACACTGGCGCAAAATAGTGGAATGGATCGTTTCAATCGGCGAAACTGGAAAATACGGACCGGATTTTTTTTTTAAACTGGATCGGCAGTCTGGATCGGCATTTTACATGCTTTGCCGATACGCATTTTTTTGCCAATATCGGCGTCCCGATCCGATACGTGGATCGGATCGGGACAAGCCTAACATTTACCCCCATAAATCAATGGGAACAACAATGAATCTGGGTAGAGATGTGACTCCAAAAGCAAAGAGAAAAATAAAAACACTAAGAATATTGTTTTGATTATTTAGATTCTAGAAAGACATTTTTTAAATCTAGTCCCCAAGGAGCAGTGACCTGCATGAACTTGCTGGCAGTCTGAGGAGTAATCTGACCATTTTAGTGGGTTGTGTTAAAATATCTGAAACAAAGACAGTGAAGTCAAAGGTCCGGGAACGTCCTCTTCTAGCATTAAACTAGCTCAGATGGTTCCTTCTATCCAACCTGCAGCTCAGAGGAAAGCGGCTGCAGAATACAAACAGCACAACAAAGCTGTGTGCAAGAAACGTGTTGCTATATTAAGAAAAACCACATTCCCTTTAAGAACAACAGGCGCTGAACAGAGTTCTGGGCTGCATTATGGTGGTTGCCCAGCGTGCCAATAGGTGAGGAAAAGCAACAACTAACAAAAACACACAAAAATATAATACAAAATACAGCAAAAAATAACATATATCAGTAGTCCTGACTGGCACCATTTTCCCAAACACTAAATTGATCCCCCAGGACCCCAAACAGCTAATCCATGAGGGAAAAAATGAAGAAATATTTGCTTAAACAAATCAGCTATTTAAATCAACCTTTTTAAAATGTTCCTTAAGTTTCTTTTCTTTTAATGTTATTATATAAAAAGTAGCTTTGTGTAGATCTGCTTCTCTGTTTGAGTGAACTGGTGTTAAAACAGCCCTAAATGACCTTGTTGTTGGAGAGTTTAAAATAATAGCTGATCATAGGAAAATCTCTTATCTTTTTAATCCATATCTTCCAAATAATTTTTGAAATAATACAGTTTCCTGATAATCAACAAGCCAGAAGTTTATCGTTTTAGCTGTTAATTCACATAGATTAGATACTGTGAACAGATTCTGAGTTTATGATATTCCAGTTTTAAATGTCTTGATAACGATCATATGCTCAAGATTAAGCTTTTCATATTTAAATTGATTTAATTCCTTTATTAAACCAGAATAAAACCCCACTGATATCTGATCTCATTGCAAAGGAAAAGCAGGCAGACAGTCAGCCCCACCTTCTTTCTAAGACTGAACTAAGAAACTAGACACAAAGGAATGAGGTAGACCATTCAAACAAAAATGAACACAGAGAAATTAACTAAATAGAGCTTGATCATTTAGATAACAATAATAAAAACCAATGAAGCAAAGCTGGAAAAACTGTAGAACACGACAATAATTTTCCACCATTTATTTAATCTTCAGAAAATAGCAGCAGTTGAAATATCTTGTCTTTTTTGCTGGTGAAGAAAAGATCGTCCAGATATTGTCTGGTAGAACGTTTCCCCCTCTGTCTCTTCTTTTCTTGTGTTAATTGGATTGGATCAGAGGGTCTGAGTTCAAAATGAAGGTCTTTGGGATCACAGGGCTCAGTTGGATTATATGACCGCATTCATTCACTGAAATGTTGTTGGGAATGAATGCTTAAAGGTTTTAAATATAAAATCTTTAAAAGACAGTTACACGAACTCAAATGTGACTCAAGAAAATGCAGCTTTTTATTTCATTCAGGCTTTCAGTGCAGCCAGTTTATTCCTCAAATCATCAGACTGATACCTTTCAAACACTTTGAAAAAAACAAGCTAAATATAACCATGATTCAGAGAGATTTCACGTCAGCTGCATCCATTACAGTTTATCCTGGTTGTCAAACAGTGCATCAACTTCTGCTTTTCTTGAAATGTTGCAAAGTTTTCTGTCTAAGAAAAAACAGCTGATTGCATCCAGTCACTGACTTTGCAGAAATCCCTCCTCCTGGTTGAGCTTGTGGCCGCAGTGAACAGCTGCTTGCTCTTGTTCTGTACTTTCCAATTTGTACAGAAGATGGAGCAGAGTCACAGAAGGGTCACAAAACAGCTAATCTAGGAGAACTTTCTATTTTAGAAAAATAAATAAACCTCTTTTGATCGCTAGTTGTGGCTAAAGTTCACTGACTTTCTTCAGGTACTTTACTTTTCTCTGCTCCCACACCCTGAGGAGCATGGCTGTTGTCCCCGCTCAAGTTTCATTTAGCCAAGAAACACCAGTGTCTTTTGTTTGGTTGAGAGCTTCAGAAGAACAAAGGCTAAGAACAATAACAGCTGACACTTCCTCATATTTATTATTTACCAGAAACTCTCACACAAATCTTTCTTTTCATGATCACACAGCTTCTGTGAAACATCTAGTTCTCAAACGACTCAATCTTTCCTAAATTTTTTTTTCTCTCTAATTACACCTAAAAACCTGCAAACCTTAAAGCACCACTTAACCTCTTTTTATGAAAGAGAGCACATCTCTATTATAAAAAGAAAGATGGGCTAGTGGTTAGGGCATAGAGTTTGGAATCCTGAGGTTCTGATTTCAAGCCCCACTCTCACAGACTGCCACTCTGGCTCTCTGAGCAAGACCCTTAACCCCCACTCGGCTCCCCGGGCGCACCACGATGGCAGCCCACTGTTCCCAAGGGAGATGGGTTAAATACAGAGATAAACTTCTCCAAAGTCAGATCAATACAATTCACATAGTATTATTATCCAGTTAGTCACAGTCAGAGAGAAACAGGACTGCACTGAAAAAAAAGCACCAACATCTATAAGCAACAGCAGCAAATGGCAGCAGCACAGCTGATATTTCTATTTCTAAATATTTCTGATATTTTGGCTGTGACTCCATCCTGGAGTCACAGCCAAACAGTAACAGACCAGATGAATCTTCTATGAGATTGAACAGAAAGGGGGAATAGAGATAGAATGAAGCAGAATGATGAAAAAGGGCCCCTATGTCCTCCAGCAGTCTAAGCCTATAGCAGCATAACTATAGAGATAGCTCTGGATAACCTGAGCCACTCTAACTATAAACTTTATTAAATATAATAATAACTGAACTTACATCATCAGAAAAGGAAAGTTTTAAGCCTTGCCTTAAAAGTAGACAGGCTGTCTGCCTCATGGACTAAAACTGGTAGTTGGTTCCACAGGAGAAGAGCCTGACAATTTAAAGATCTGCCTCCCATTCTGCTTTTACAAATTCAAATATACAGTGCAAACCATTTGTGTAGGTGTTCAGTGACATCCGTATTCACAGACTGTGGAAGAACCGCAGTGCTGGTATTATTGAAATTTAATGCAACGTTAAACTCAGTTGATTCCTCCATTTCATCAGAGTGCCTGAAAAAATATATTTTTTACTCAATTTAATCCCATCCAAAAGAAATGACTGACTAAGCAGCTTCTTTTTCAAAGACTCTGGTCTGAAGACAAGAAGCTTCTGTTTAGTCTGCATGCAGGAGCAGAAAGTTGAAGGTATAGTGGAGGACGTTCTTTTTCTTGGTGGATCACCAAAATAAGTGGTCCTCCTAATTGTCAATCATTCTGGTGATATCTTTAAGTAAGGCCGACCTAAGCGCTCGTCCCCTTTTTCACTTACCGGTGGGGAGTCTGACATAGTGGAAAAATTTCAAATCTTCTTTTAGAAAGTAAGCTTGTATGAGCGATTCAAACAGCAACTTTTAAACAGAGCATGCACAAAGAGAAACAGGCATTCCTCCTCGGGAGCGGGTACAGGGATTTGCCTGTGCATTTTTTTATTTTTAAAGTGAAGAGGGTAGTCTTCACTACCCTCTAATTCTTCACCATACCTTTAAGAGTCATCCAGGATTTTATGTCTTCAGACATGCCTGCAGTCTAGTCTTGTTAACAGTTCTATACTCCTACACCTACAAATAATGCTGGTAAAGATAATAATAATAATAATAATAATAATAATAAATATTATGATGATAATGATGATAATGACACTGATGATTTAATGGTCTCATGTTAATTCTTTCCACAAATAAATTGAAGCCATTGTTATATTTTAAATGATATGATATATTATTCATATATTGTTTTTCCATATAATCCAATATTGTTTATTTTAACGTATTAACAACATCTTGGCATGAATTTTCATATTAGCTAAACAAGAGTAAAAGAAAAAGAAAAGTACAAAAAAAGGAAATCTAATGAATGTCTGTCTCCTAAGATGGCCACCAGGGGGCAGACGTTAACAAGTAGTTGTGGAGAATTGTTGTCAGTCAGTCCATAGAGCAGCCTAAATCCATGTAAGGATTTTTCTCAAGGTTTAAGTGAAGAAAATAAAGAAGCATAATTTTAACCAATCCTATTTTATTTATAAATCACTTTAAAAAAACATTTTTTTTTTGTAGTTCAGATTAAAAATGATGTAATTTTACATCATTACACTGCTTGGTTTCCAGAGACTCTGGCTGCTGCTGGGTGTCTAATGTGGAAGGCAAAACCAACTGGATGAGTCACGCACAGATGGATCTTGGAGTTCGCTCAGATACCTTCCGTATGAACACCTGCCCTGTCACCACAACAGTGTCTTCCTTACGGTACAGATTCCCACCTTTAAATCCCTCCTTTATCTATTGTCTTGATTGGTTGAAGATTATTTGTTTAGTTAAATGTGATCAAAAAAGCTCATAGAGAGGCAAAAAGCTCCCCAACCCCTAATGAGAGGAAATATGAAAATGTTCCTACAGGGTTCCTCAGAACTGTTTTACCCAGCTGCGTCTTCTGGCTCATGATCCAGATGGAGATGCAGTGAGATGCCGCTTCACTTCAGACCCCACAGCAAACTTTACTCTGGACGAGGTAACTGACAGTCTGATGACTTTAAGGCCTTGCAGGAGTATTGATGTTCTGCATACATTCAGATGTAGCCATATGAAATCCAACCTTTAAATTGATGTCACAATAATAACTAATAAATAAAAACCCTGTTGTAGACCACATGCACGCTGAGAAGCAGAGGGGAACCCCAGCCTGGAACACACGTGTTTGAGTTGACACTGGAGGACTTCTCCACCAAAAACATCACACTGACCTACGCAGATGGAAGCTCAGTGACCAGAGAGGCCTCCAACATGAACCGACCTCCTCTCTGTCGACTGAAGCTGCACTTCCTGATGGAAGGTAAGGCTTCATCCTGGACTCAGCCAAAGAAATGTCTGGATTTCATTTCATTCCCACCAATCAGACTTCCTCATCACCACTGCTGATCGGCCCCACGTTTTTGCATCATCTGAATGTTTAAAGATGGTATACATGCCGTTTGCTCCAATAAATGCAACAAATCTTCAGGAAAAATTACCCACATAATAAAGAGCATAACTAAAATATCAGACCAAAGATTTATGTATCAGGAGTTTAATAGCAAAGATTTTAAAGATAAATAAATGCAGCTGTAGAAAGCATCTCCCTATATGAGAGTTAGATGACTGGCTTATTCAACCCATCTATCTATCCATCCATCCATCTTCTCCCAGTTATTCCTGTCAGGGTCCAGTGGGGCTGGGACCTATCTCAGGCTATAGGTGAGAGGCGGGGTCCACCCTGGACAGGTCACCAGTCAGTCGCAGGGCAACAAAGAGACACACAACCATTCATACACACTCAGACCAAAGGACACTTTAGAGAAGCCAATTAAGCTAACAGTCATGTTTTTGGACTGTAGCGGGAAGCTGGGGTACCCATAGAGAACCCACGCATGCTCTGGCAGAACATGCAAACTCCAAGCAGAAAGAACCTGGCCCAGGAATTGGACCCGGAACCTTCTTGCTGCAAGGCAGCAGTGCTGTAAACTGTGCTACCGCACAGCCTCTTATTGACCCCAAAAATAAAAAAATTATTTATGTGCTGAAATTCCTTCAGCACATAGAGAAATTATGATAGATAAAGTTAAGTCCTTAAAGTCCAGAACAATCAGGTCCTCCAGGAGGACCTGTATAGACCCGGTCAGACTGAAGCTCTGGTCCACTCAGCCTGAAGGAAACTCCCGGTTTCACAGTGAGGGAAACCAGAGACCTTCAACTCCAGTCCACACTTCTGTTTAGTGTCCTGCAGCTGAGTTTCTGAAATAACATCCCTGAAGCCAACAGATGATGAGAAGGTAATCCAGCCGTTTGATTCATGCCTGTTGGACCAGAAAGGTTCCAGGACAGGTCCTGAGGACTTGGTTGTCCCCAAAAGACTGTCTCCAGGGAGATTAACTCACCCTCCGTAAATAAGAGAGTTTATTCCTGCCTTATGTTGGATATGATGCTCAGAAGAATTTAAAAAGCTTTAATAGATTTTCTTCACATGAATCAATCTGACAATACTGGGCTTTTTTTTTTTATTTTTTTTTTATAATAGATTTTATTTGTAGTTTTTGTCTCTTTGTTATCACTGAATTTCCCACCTGTGTTGCACAATAAATGATTAAAACCTCCACTGGGTTTCTGGTTTCAGTCCTTTCTCCATCATCGAGCTGTGTGGCCGGTGACGTGACGCCAGTGTTCCTGTCCAGGACGCCATCATATGGAGATGTTCTGCAGGCGAGCGTGGGTCAGACCTTCCAGCTGTTCGCTGAGGCCCAGGCTCTGAACGCTCAGTACGGACTTCTCGCACGCTTCATGCACCATTACAGAACATTACTAGACACCTCTTTCTTTCTGACTCTTTTCATTCCTCTGAAGGATCCAGAGCTTCCAGGTCAGTGGGCCACAAAACCTGACCCAGGAGTTCAGAACCGGGTCGAACGGGAAGGCAGAAGCCACCCTGACATGGACCCCGAATGAAAGCGATGCCAACAGATTCATTCCAGTTTGTTTCACTGCAGAAGCTGCAACATCGTGAGTTATTTTATCATACAGACATTAAAATAAAGATCTGGTCTTCTTTTTATTGTTTTCAACAAAAGAAGCATTGAAGGTTTGATCTTTTTGCTTATTTTAATCTTTAGATTTTGATACTGTTTGTTCCTCTAACAGCTTCATAGATGGAGTTATTTTTTTATTATCGGTTTTCTTTCATTTTGAAGATATTAAAATGCAATCCTAAATATTTCTGTTCTAAGCAGAAAAAATAAATAAAATTTTATTTATTTTGCAGAATTACAGAATACTGTAAACCGGAAAGTTTAATGACTAAGTGAAGTTAAATTTATTCATACAGCACAATTCAGTGGCAAGATAATTCTCAGGGCTTTATATAAGAAAACAGGAAAATAAACACAGACAAGTAGATTGCAGTGGTATGAAAGGAATTAAACAGTTGACAACTGTTAATTCAAGAGGAAAAAAATTTAAATGATGATTGTAAAAATGATTTGTAAAATGACTGATAATAATATCAAAGAAAGTGGACGACAAATTAAATGTTTAGAAAGCTCAGTCAAAAGCCACTCTAAGATGTTTTTGTCTTATACAGTAATTCATCAAAGTCCAGATCTTTTAAAGATCGTGAATCTGGACTGACTAATGATGGCTCTTTTCTTTAACTAAAAGCTGAATTATAGTTTGACTAAAAACGATCAAAGAGTGACTCAGAAAACAGCGGCTGCAGGACAAACAACATTTGAATAAACATTCATTAATATCAAGTAGAAACCATTCATTGTTTGGACTCTGATTAACCTTAGCTTGTTTATAATGATTTTTTTTTGCTTGTTCTAAATCTACAGCCAATCAGAGATGAGATGTGTCGTTGTCAAGGTGACCCGAGCCACTCTTAACCAAGGTTTGCTGCTAATAATGCATACATGCACCCATCCACACATGTACAATTAAATGCTTGTATGTTTATTTGTTAACTACCTGTAAGGGCTGTTTAAAAATGTGCTTATGATAAAAAAAAGTGTTATTTTTATCATCATGAAGGAAATTTAATAACAAAAAAAAAAATACAAGAATAAAATAAAAAAAAAACAAAACAAAAGAAAAGAAAACCGAAACCCAAACACCCGGATGAGCGTGACAATCTAATAATCTCACCTCTGAATGAAGATCAAACAGAGCATAAAGAGTCAATCCTCAAATGGTTGAAGTAATGTTGCATGACTCAGCATACTGTTGAAAAACCAGTCAGACCACAAGTTTTCATACATATTTTTACTATTCAGAAGCCATGACATCTCTTTTGTCATTATTATCTATTCTATCAAGTATTTTGCTGAAAGTTTTGAAAGTGTTATCATGAGGGTACCCCGGAAATGATTGGAATATCAAATCAAATCAAATATCCTTTATGTGAGAACAGATAATGAAGTACAATCAACAACAAAAACATAACTCTGTTGGGTTTGCTCCCATTTTTTCCCCATACACGATATAACCATCTCCATCAAATATTGTTCATAAACCAGTCTAAATCTGTGATGGTGAGCACTTGTATTGGAGGGAAATGTTGACGTTGTGTATGTGGGAAAAGTTTTAGATCTTTGAGTTTATCTCATAAAAAATGGGAGCACAACCAAAAGTTTGAAATACAGGTCAGACGGGGTCAATATCCTTTTGATTTTCAGGAAGAGCCTCAGTTCAGTGTTTATCTAACATGATGATGGTGGCCGTGGAGAAAGCTTCAATGCCTGATGTCAGTGAAGAGTTCCTGTCTCTAAGCGACCCTTCGTGCACGCTCACCACCAACGGCACTCACATCCTGGGAACCATGTCCTTCAGTACCTGCGGCACACAGCTTGAGGTGTGGAAAAACAGAGCAAAGACCTAAAATCCGTCCTCTTCGGTACCTTTGCCTTTAATTTTACTGTAATGTTTCATGAAAACAGGATAAAGGAGACTACATCGTCTTTAAGAATGAGATCCGCTCTGTCGAGAGGTCCAACGAGGTCATCATCAGAAGGAACACGGTTAAGATTGACTTCTACTGTGAGTTTCCCAAAACCATCAGCGTCTCCAACTTCTACAGCCTCTACCAGGCGGATTACATTTTCACTGAGTCCAGCTTTGGCAGCTTCGGCTACACCTTTGAGATATTCACAAACGGTAACTTCACCAAGAGGGTGGAGCCTAATGCCTACCCAGTACAGGTCAGGCTGATGGAAATGATTTACATGGGCATCCAGGCCATGTCAGAGCTCCCAAACGTTACATTGTTTGTTGAGTCATGCAAAGGGACTCCAGACAACAACCCTGACAACCCCATGTACTATGACTTCATTGAGAATGGGTAAGTCCTGCTGTGCAGAAACGTTAAAAATGTCTGAAGAAGATGCTCTTCAAATTTTTTTTTTAATCTGTTGTCTTCAAGGTGTGTGAAAGATGAAACCCTTAAGATCCACCCGTCCAACCAGACTTCTTACAACTTTGAGATCCAGGCCTTCAAATTCAATGGAGATTACGACCAGGTAGCTTCCAGTGGGAATGAAAACCAGATAGGAAAAATGCCTGATGTCCAGGGTCTATCTAGGTCATTGGAGAACGTTCCCCATTATTCCGTCAGCAGATTTGGCTGGATAGATTAAACAACATCAAGATGGAAGGAATTTCAAAATATAGAGCTTAAATCAACACAGGGGGTCAAATATACCCCTTTTCCACTGGCTGGAAAAACCAGTTTAAACCCGAGAACAATCGGCTTTTGGTGGTAGTGGCAGCTTTTAGTGGCAGTACACTAACACGTGTGCCAAATCAGGCACATAATGTCCAGGAGAACCAAACCCCTTTAAAGGATCGATCAAAGCAAAGATTGTTTTATAAAAACTACAGTGAATTCTTCATTTTCAGCCACACTCTCTCACCTTCTATCTTACAGGTTTACATCACCTGCTCCGTCATCCTGTGTGAGCCTGGGAACCCCTTCTCCAGATGTGCGCAGGGATGTCTGAGCGAACCATCCCGCCGACGCAGACGAGGGCTAAGCATGGAGACCACGGGGCACTACATTACCCAGGGTCCTCTGCAGCTGGTTGGGTCTGCTTCTCCTAATGCAGTGAAGGAGGATAAGAACATAAAATTGGAGCCGAAAAGTGATGCGTCTCCTGAAGGTTAGATTCAGAAAGACCCAACAGTTGTGTTGTTTTCAGTTTGTGTAGAAACTGAATTTAAGTCCTTGTGTCTTATAGTTAATTTTCCACCAGAAGTTCCTGAAACCAGATCAGATGGAGAAAGCTGGAGATTCAGGGAGCTGTTTGCCTCCAACATCACCACAGTGGTCTTTGCCAGTGCCTTCATCCTGTCACTGGTTCTGATGGTGGTGGTGGTTCGTCATTTCCGCAGGAGGAGAAGAGCTGAGGACTGCAATGTTCTCATTGAAGACGAATTTGAGAAATAAACCAAAATCAGCTTAGAGCAGCGAGAAAAAGTATGAATTAGTGGAGACAAATCAAACCATCAGAATAAAACAGGATGACAAAATCACAACTATAACCAGATAAACAACCCAGAACCGGTTTGCTCCTGTTTTCTCAGCTGACAAGTTCTCACTTTTAGCCAGGCAACAATCATGCTTCAGAAGTCATTATTTAAAATGGCATCTCCAGCCAATCAGCTGCAGAGAGGCTGGCAGAGTCTAAGCTTTAACTCCTAATTTAATCTGATCGCTGACGGATCTTTAAACATTGACACAAAACAAAAAAATATCCTTTTTTTTTAAATGTTTTTGAGCTCAAGAGTTCCAATAATGTGTCTCCTTTAATTCGTCTCTTCTCCTATTCAAGCAGACTACCTTGAATTTAAAAATATAAAAAAGAAATGTAGTTTATATAGATCTGATTTAATAATGGGGAGTTTATATCGGCTAAATCAAATAGGTATCATCTTGCCTTGTTCTAAACAATGTTTTATAGGGAACTTTCTGCTAAAATTGCTTTTAATGTAGAAAAGACTCAGCAGATTCAGAAGTGGGGTGTGGTGCGTAACTCATACCTTAATGCATAAAGTCTATCTAGATGATCAGTGATAGAACAAGCGGACAGACATCAGGTGTTTTTAAAAGTGTGAGAAACACCAGCTGATCTGATCTGTGGATCGCTGCTTGCTGAACCGGCTTCTCATTCAGGCTTTTCTGCCGGTTCTCTTCAGGTCACACTGATGCATTTTTCCTGTAATTAAAGTAGAGGGGCTTTATATGCATATTATTTTATATAAATGTAATAAAATCTCTTATGGGAAATTGTGTGTTTGGTTTTTATTTTTTATTTTCAGCTTTGAACTCAACTGATTTAAAAGCGAGGGAATATTAAAGCTTACTGATGAGATGATTATTTCGATTTCAGACAGAATCTCAGTGAAAATCAAACTGAGCAGATATTCAGAAAACAGATAATTGGAAAACAAACAAGCTACTATACCAGCAGAGTTTAAAAAGATTAAGTCCAAAGGAGAAAATTTGATCAGGTTGTTTTGTTTCAGCCTTTAGCAGACCAGACAGGTTAAACTCCCATGGACGAGTTCATCAAGCAGATAAACAAACTGTAACAGCAATAAAAACACAAGAACAGCGTCTCACCTGTTTAAGAGCTGCTCATCAACTATTTGAACACAAAACACATTAAACCAAAAGATTGTTTATGAAAAATACAGAAATGTACCTCTTTGGTGTTTGTGTTTTACAGTTTTCGAAAAGTTTAATATCAGACTAAAATAACTCAGGCAAATGAAAAATAAGTTTTACTTTCTTTAAAAAAAATGATTTAAACCCGTCATGCCTAAAGCCAGTCACTGAGGGTCACTGTCCTGCATTTTTAGAGGTTTATTGTGCTTTTAGCACAGCTGATTCTGATGATTGCAACTCAGCAAAAGCGTTTTAATCAATGAAAATCAGCTGCGGTAAAAGCAGGGAAACCTAAAAAACCTGCATGACTGGTCTAAGCCAACATGGTTCTTTTTAAAACAAGGGTTGCTGAAGGGTTTTCTTTCAGCCACACTGGTGGATTTTTTGTCAGCATCATCAGCCTCCTTAAACTGGCAAAAGCCATATTGATACCTGGAATACATTTTGTTTGAAAGGTAAAAAATCTCCTTTAAAGTCATGTTAAAATGTCTTGATTAGATTTAAGTTTTGGCTTTAGATTAGCTGCTCCAAAATCTTCATTATGTGTTGCTAAACCAGAGTTGAAATAAACATATTTTGATGTTTGTTGAAAATATGTAGCAAGTTCTTCATCAATGCAAACCACATACTCTGCAGCACCGGAAACATTTAATTTCTTCTTACAAGTGCTTCAAAGTTAAATGAAAAATAAACAGTTTTCATGATTTTTCTGGCAAAATGTTTTCTATAATATTCAACTAAGTAAAAGGCTTTTTGTTTATTCAAAACATATTACTAATATATGTATTCACTATTTTCTTTTGCAGTTTCTGAAAATGCATTGAATAAAAGGGAAGCTATGAATTTACAAATAAAAACAAACCAGTCATTGTTTTGTTTACCAGAAATTCACTAAATCACTTTACAGGGTACAGTTCCCAATATGAGATTGCAGTCTGTAGCCAAAACAGCAGAGGGCGCTGGAGGATAAGGCTATTTCAGTCTAACTATGCATTATAACCTCAATAAAAATAAAAGTAAATATGTTTTTATAGACTGTAACACATATATCTTTATTGAATGGTGGTATATTTAGTTTATTTCTTTTTCAAACAGGCTAAAAAGTAGAAAAATGATATTCTCTTGAATAAAAGTAATAAAACATGCTAAAACACATGATGTACTAACAAAGAGAAAGTCACAAAGACAAAAAAATAAAGAATAAAGAAAATGTGCTTTCAACATGTAAGATGCTCGTTTGTCAAACTGAGCAAACAATATTGTGTAATAAAACAATAGATTTTAAAACTTTGCTGCTTCAAAAAGCACAATCAGGAAGAAGAAGAGATGGTAGAAGATACCAAACCACTTTTAAGGCTGCTTTGTTCCTACAGCAAATCTAACATTTAATCTATCAACCATTTCCTAGAGAATGTTAATATTTATCTAAATAAAAGTAAGATTTGACGAAAAATAGATAATTTTTGGGCTATATTTGATAAAAACAATGCATCTATCCATAGTTCTATCTATTGATAGCTGTAGGCAGGAAGGATCTTTCATATCGCTCCTTCTTCCATCAGATAATTTAAAGTAATATCTAACGGCTGCCTAAGCATCTGAGCCCCGACCCAAGACAAGATCAATCAGTCAACCTTTTAGCCAATGGTCTATGTTGGTGATTGGCTGAAAGGTGCAGCTACAGAAGAAAAAGGTGTCTGTTTGATTAAAGATTGTGTTGCTTTATGTAAAAAGGAATGCTTCACATTGCAAAAAATAAAAAAGCAGCGGCTGTGTTAGAAGGGCTCTTGCTTTGCAGTGATCCATTGAGACTGATGCTTCCTGCATTAAGATAAGGCCACAACAGCATTCCAAAGGTCAGGCGTGGCATGTTATTTGTGAACACTTCTGTCTATAAGCATTCGGTTTTCCTGGGACCTGTGAGACTGCAGGCAAGAAATAAAAAACAAAATAAAATAAAAAAATGCAGAAAGAACTGAGCAGAAAAGCCTGCAGCTGAGATGATGCATTGCAACAACACATTTTGCATCGATGGAAAAGATCGCTGGGGCAGGTATTGATGGCAGCATCAGGGACCAAAGTCCCTGAACATTGGGTGAACGCTTATCACCTGCACCACTGCCATGCCCCAGCATGACCTTCAATTAATAAGAACCCAGTTGTGCACCAAATGAAAACAAGAGGGCACCAGAGGACCATCAACCACTTTAAAACTAGAAGTTTGTCATTGGCAAAGCTTAAGGGTGATGAATTCTTTATTATTTTGTACTGCCAGTAGCAAAGGTTCCAGGTTAGTTTCATCTATGTGTTGGATCCTGTTTTGGAAGATAAAACATTGAGATTCGGAGGCATGCTTCATAAAATGCCAGAGGAAACAGAACATCCTGCAATAGTAATATGCAGAAAATGTCTGACTAATCTGTTGCAACCCTTTTATCAGGCCAGGCTCCCTATTTTAAAACTGGGGTCTATTTCTTTGGGTCATTTGAAAATAAAAGAGGGAAACGATGGTGCAGAAGACATGCCTGGCAAGTTGAAGGCACTCATTTGGAGGCAGCAGCTATGATCGACACAGATTCCTGCATTAATGCAGTGAGGCCATTCATCGAGAGTAGAGGGTGAGTTAAACATTTGTGGTTTGACAATGGAGCAACTTAGCTGGTGCTTAAAGAGACCTGAAACAAGCACTAAAACTTAAACCATATCAGGACAAAATAAAGTAATTCTTGCTGCAGGTGGAAATTAATTGGATTTTGATTCCACCTGGTTTGGGAGAGGATGATCCACATGGTGAGAAGAAATCTTAACTCTGTGCTTCATCAACAAACCCTCGATCATGTATTGTAAGATTAAGAAGCCATCTTCAGTGGTCGCCCTATAACAGCACTCTCAGATGATCCAGTCATGCCCTATCATCTGATTTCTTTAATGGAAGCCATCACTTCCTTCTGGAATGTTGTTAGCCTGGGGTAAAAGGGAGTGGAACAGGCATAATATCTGTCTTGCCTTTTCTGGAAAATATGGGTTTTAGGATATTTGCCTTTGCTTCAAAAAAAGACAAAAACTGAACGAAAAGAGGAAAAGCATCACTGTTGGAGATTTCGAGGACCCATCTGGTCACTTAAGATAACTGCCTTTAGGGAATACGTATTTGCAGATTGTCACAGGTTTTTGAGGTATGTGAACTTGAAAAAAGTTAAATATTATTGAGAGACCAATTTCTAAACATTGCATGGTATAAGGTGTCTACAAAAATGTGTTATTGTCACATGCATGTATTGTTATTCGAGGAATTGACATCGGCGGCAGTAAAATATGCATGCATATGCATGTAAATTATGCATATGACTGGTTAAAAATGGGGGGACTGTAGGCACCATAATATAAGCTAAACAGCAACAGGTAGTAGGCAGGTGTTGAACCCAAAGATCTATATTTATTCACTAGATTGCGGATTGCCTGAAAAAAGTAAAGCCACCACCTGGCATGTTGATACTCCCCACTCCCACGGAGATGCACAGTAAAACTGCCGACTTGTGTAGCATTTTACAGCAAAAACAAGCAGTTCGCTGGCTGAGGGAAGACGTTTCACAGGTAATTTAGAGTCAGTGGATGTACTTAACAAGAAAACATCCTCTTGGGATGGGTTAAAGGCAGAAAGTTCATTTCGTTGATCTGTACTACAGACGGTGTAATGACGAAACAAAAAAAAAACGCCTGAATTTATAGAAGCATAACTGCAGAGCATGATCAGGATATTCTGAGCCACTATAAGCTTTATCAAAAATGAAAATTTAAGGCTGAGTCTTAACAGTAGACAGGTCCTTCCAGAATAAAAGTGAAAATGTGGTTCCATAGAAGAGGAGCCTGATAACTGAAACATCTGCCTTTGATTCTTCTTTTAGAAACTTAATGCACAATCAGTAGAACTGTAGATTAAAACTTAAATGCTCTGTTTGCAACAGAAGAAACAATCAGGTCTCTGTTATAAGACAGAGCTTGGTTATGTTGGGAGCTGGAGAAATCCCATCTTTCTCCAGCAGAGTCCGCCGTGGATCCTCTGAGGGAGCTTCCTGCACAGCTGCAGCTCATCA